ACGTCAGGAGCCTAAATGTGTCTTTTCTTTTTTTTATACATACATAAATGCCTATGGACAGACTAGTCTATTCAAATATGACACCTGGTGTCTAATTTGTTTTATGCCTTACAGTTTGTATGTCTGATTGTTACCTGGAATGTACAGGGACTGGGTCATGTGATCAAAAGGAAAAAGGTTTTGACTTATTTGAAAAAAAATAAACTTGATATTGCACTATTACAGGAAACCAGGTTATCTGCTACAGAACATTTGAAACTTAAAAGGGACTGGGTAGGTAAGGTATATTTTTCCTCCCATTCACAAAGTAAAAGGGGTACAGCCATTCTTATACACAAGAATCTTCCTTTTGTTTTGGAACATGAGGAGAGGGACCCGGAGGGGAGATTTATTTTAATTAAGGGCTTGATCCATGGAAAATATATAACTATTCTCAATGTATATGCTCCTAATGATGATTCGCCTCAATTTATGTCACAAATGATCTTATTGTTTAACCACCATTGTAAAGAAATTGGTTTCCTGGCTGGTGACTTTAACTGTACAATGAACGCATCTCTGGATAGGTCGTCTTCTGCAAAATTGCCAAACCCAAAAGCTTCAGCTGTTCTAAAAAACTTATGTACGGACACTGGTTTGATTGATATTTGGCGACATTTAAATCCTAAAATAAGGGATTATACTTTCTATTCACATCCCCATAATACTTATTCCAGATTGGATTATATCTTTATCCCTAAGTCACTTTTACATTCAGTTCGAAGCTGTAACATAGACTCCATACTTTTGTCAGATCATGCACCAGTATTTTTAGGTGTTGATCTATTGTTTCGTATGCCTAGAACATTTACTTGGAAATTCAATACATCCTTTCTGGATAATGAATCCTTTTGTAACTTTGTCCGGAGTAATATTACGCAGTTCTGGCTCGATAACAAAAAGTCCCCTGTGTCTTCTGGTATAATCTGGGATGCAGCAAAAGCTACTCTGCGTGGTTACCTTATTTCCTACTGCTCCCACCAAAAAGCGGTTTTAGCAGAGAAGAGAAACAGTCTCGAAAAAGAGATGATTAGATTGGAACAAATACATAAACAATCACCAACTTTGCCAAACTTTAAGGCACTATTGGCTGTTAAATCTGAGCTTAACATAGACTACAACCGCCAGGTTCAGAAACTATTACTTTATACCAAACAGAAACACTATGAATTTGGTAATAAATCCAGTCGCATGCTTTCCCATTTATTAAAAAAGCAAGATAACAGTCGCTTAATTAGTATAATAGGAACGCAGAACGAGGAAGTCACCCATGACCCCATAATTATTAATAATACTTTCCGGGATTTTTATACATCTCTCTACAATACAGATATGGCTGACCCGGATGATATCTCCACTTATTTGAGCAGTATATCTTTACCTTCTGTCTCGGGAGAGGATCGCGCCTTTTTAGATGCTGCTATTACTCCAGAGGAAGTTTGGGCTGCAATTAAATCCATGCCAAACAGAAAATGTCCGGGACCTGATGGGTTTCCATTGGAATTTTTTAAGTTATTTTGGCCAGAGATTCAACCAATATTCATGCCCGCTATTAATGACATTTTGAGAAATGGTATCCCTCCCTCGTGGAGACACGCCTCTATTAGTCTTCTTTTAAAAGAAGGTAAAAATCCTCTGGATTGTTCCTCCTTTAGACCTATTAGTTTGCTTAACGTTGATTATAAAATTGTGGCAAAAGTATTGGCTCGGAGATTGGAAAACATCCTACCTAAAATAATAAACCCAGACCAGGCAGGGTTTATAAAAATGAGATATGGCACAGACAATATCCGACGTGTTCTTAATGTTGTTCAGTACCTTAATACTCACAAAGAGCCAGCAGTAATTGTTTCCCTTGATGCTGAGAAGGCTTTTGACCGAGTTGAATGGCAGTTTCTTTTTCAGGTGTTACATAAATTCGGTCTGGGCCCAAACTTTATCAAGCTGGTTAAAAGCTTTTATTCAGACCCAACAGCCTCAGTTAACACAAATGGCTTGATGTCTGAGCCCTTCGAGATCCATAGGGGCTGTAGGCAGGGATGCCCCCTTTCACCCTTATTGTTTACATTGTTTATTGAACCTTTGGCCGAGATTATCAGGACTAATCCAGATGTATCTGGAATAAATATAGACGGTAGAAACCACGTAATCTCATTATTTGCAGATGATGTACTATTGTATATGTGTAACCCTGAGAAATCAATTCCAGCTACTCTGGAATCTATGACTACATTCAGTGCATTGTCAGGATATAAAATCAATTTAGGAAAGTCTGTCGCCACCCCTTTCAGCATGCCCCCAGAAAGTCTCACGCAATCTCCCTTTCAAATGTCTACAAAAGGTTTCAAGTATCTGGGTATTTTTGTTACACCTGATCTGAATAATCTTTTTGGGACTAATTACTCTCCTTTAATACAAAAGATAAAAAATGATTTGATAAAATGGGCTCCCCTGCCAACTTCTCTTTTAGGGAGAATCAACACTATAAAAATAAACATTCTTCCACGACTGAACTATTTATATCAAAACCTTCCCTGCTATCTATCTCCTGCACACTTCAAATCACTAAATTCTCATTTATCTCGTTTTGTCTGGAACAACAAACATCCAAGAGTCAAGTTCTCTATATTAACTAAGCCAAAACACCTTGGAGGTTTGTCATTACCTTCCCTGCAGCTTTATTATTGGTCAGCACAACTTAAAATCGTTTCTAATTGGTTTATGAACAGAGGGAACTCTTTGTGGCTGGATTTGGAATCCCAATCTTGTTTCCCTAGCAAACTTAACTCTCTTTTCTTTATAAATGGCATAGATCAAATACCCCATCTCAAAAGTAATTTTATTGTTTATAATACTTTACTGGCCTGGCGAGATGTGAAGAAATACTTTAATATCTCTTCCACCCTCTCCTCTTGGTCATCGTTGACTTTGAATCCTGATTTACCAGCAGAAATTAGAAGCATTGGATTGTCTGAATGGTCATCGAAGGGATTGTCAAATATTTTGGACATATTGAATTCTGACTCTGTTAAACCCTTTGAACAAATTAAAGCTAATTTCAATATTTCTAATAGAGATTTTTATAAATACTTACAGATTCGTCATTTTGTGAACTCTCTCAGGAGGACAGGAAAACTACGTACAAAATTGTCTGAGTTAGAGAATACAATTGTTTTGACCAAATCTTCTAAGGGACTTATATCTAAGATATATAGTTTGTTATCTGGCTCTGACTCCTCAGGTTATGATGCCATGAAGCTGGTGTGGGAGTATGATCTGGGGTTGACGTTCAATCCAGCAGATTGGGAGGAAATCTGTGATGGGGTTTTCCCTAATTGCACTTCGCTTTCTATACACGAGCAGAATTTTAAACTCTTCTATCGAACATATTACACACCTGTTCGCCTTCGGAAAATGTTTCCTGATGCTTCAGATCTCTGTCATAAATGCAGAATACATAAGGGCACATTTATTCATTTATTTTGGTCTTGTGACTATATTCAAGTCTTCTGGAAGGCAGTTCATCTGGTGATACAAGAGATTATTGGTAAACAGTTCTCACTAACTTCCTCCTTCTGTCTTTTTAATCACACTTCAGGGATTTTCTTTAATGCAGATACCAAACATCTGCTTGCAATTCTCTTATTTCTGGCTAAGAAATGTATACTACTGAGGTGGTCAGCATTACTAGCCCCTACAGTCGATATGTGGTTATCACAAATGTCTGCTATTGTCGCAGTTGAAAAACTGACTTGTGACCTTCATCAAGAGTCGGACAAATTCCGAAGGATATGGGACCCGGTACAATCTTTTTTACAGAAACTGTAAATTCAGTTTTTTTTTTTTTTTTTCTTTTTTTTTTTTTAGATTTTTTCTCTCTATTTTTCTTTCTTTCTTTTTTTTTTTTTTTTTTTTTTTTTTTTTTATTCAATATACCATACATTTGGTTGTCCGACAGTGTGGACCACTTTGAACCATGTCTGTTTGTATTTTGTGTATGTGGGCTGTATGTATGTATGATTCTTTTTTTCTCTTTTTTTTTTTCTCTTTTATGTGAACACCGCAGTGCTCCTTGTTGATTTGGGGTGGGTTGTTTTTGTTTGTTTGTTTATTTATTTGTTTGTTTGTTTTTGTTGATGTTTATATAAAGCTGTGAAAACTTAAAAAAGATAATAAAAAAAAAAAAAAAAATGAGAAACACCACCAATAAATTGGAGGAACAGACCTGACTTCAGAAATTTAGCTACAAGGTTATGAGCTTTTTTTTTGCGCACAGACATGGACACATGTTGCGACGCTTACAGCTCGTTGAACTATAGCTTTAATTTTGCTAGAAAAGTGATACAGCTGAAAGCAACTGTCAAGTATTGACTCCTTTTTTGACCTTATGAGAAACACTTGCTTTGTTGCTAGTTAAAAAAAAAAAATTTGCCAACCATAAGGTCGTCTCTTAATTCACCAAGACATCTAGATATGGTAAAAACAAATTATCAAGCAAGAACCTGGAGAAGATGGGGGTGCTTTGGTGGTGCAGTGGTTAGCGCACATGACACGTGTATGGAGGCCTTAGTACTCGACGTGGACAACCCATGTTTGAATCAGGCCTGTGGTCCTTTCCTGCATGTCTCTCCTCCTCTCTCATACCCCTTTTCCTGTCAGCCTACTGTCCAAAGAAAATGAGCCACTAGTGCCTTAAACACTAAAAAAAGAACATGGAGAACAGACAGATAGATTGTTGTTTATTACACAAACTTTAGGTTTAGTTCAGTCATTTTGCTATTTTTCATGTGTTTAAGTTATTTCATGTGTTTTAGTTACTAGTAGTATTGACTCATGTTCTATTAGGACCTTTTTCTCAGTGTATCAGCTACATGCTCTATCTCAACTTCATCTGTATAGCATTCCAGTTACCAGCATCCTCACTAATCATAATTCTCTGTTTTTTCAGATTATCTTTTTTTTCTGAGATTATTAATATTTAAAGCGCCATAATTCTTCCTTGTGTCTGCATTGGGGTCAGTTGCAACCCCATAATTCTCAACTATTTATTCTGTTGTTTTGGGTATACAGAGAATTGTATGAGAAAGAAAAAGCCACTGATCAACATTAGTGTTGATGAAAAATCCTTGTATTTGCCACTGGAGAATATACAGATTTGTTATGAAATACTCTAAAAAGGCAATGTAAGCTCAAAAAAACATTTAACTAAATGAACAGCTTGTCAAATTTTGAAGCAGATGGGCTACAGCAAGATAAATCCATTCTTGTTGCCACTGCTTTCAGCCAAGAGGGGGAATCTGAGGCAACAATTTACAAAGACTTGTGATAATTGGACAGTAACAGACTGGAACAATTGCTTGGCCCAATAAGACTTGATTTCAGTGATGACATTTGGATAGTACAATCTAAATATTGCATAAACCACAGGAAAACAGGGATCTATCTAGCCTTCTTCCAATAGATGAGGCTGGTAATGAGGAGATAATTTGCCGAATGCATTATGCTGCACTGCTCAAACCCAATACATATGCTATCCAATACTTGACAATAAGTTCTATGCCAATGAACTCTGACATTATAAGATCTCTGTGTCATGACAGGAACAGATGGACCCAGTATTCAAGGTGAGACAGACAGTGGGACAGTTAAAAGCGTTAATTAACACAAAACAAAGCATAACAGATGCAGAGCTGTAGATGTGTGGACCGCAGTGGCTGCAGGAGGAAGGCGGGGCACTGCCCAATCACTGACACTATGGAGAGAGAAACATAGGTAAGTGACCACAATCATCTGTTGGGAGATGATTATCTGTGAGAGTCACTTACATGGTTTAACGGTTCAGTCCATCGTCTCCAAGGAAGGCTGGATCCAGCCGATGGACTGCCAAACAAGCTGCGGTGCAGAGCCTCACAGAGTGTCCCAGATGCAGCAACCTCAATGAGCAGGCAGGAATCTGATCCAGGTCAGAGAAAACAGATCAAACAGGACAATCGTGGAATCCAGGAATCCTCAGCCCAGTCAGGGGTTCCAGTCCACGCAGGAACACTTAGATCCAGGGTTCCATGAATCCAGCAGAGAACTCAGACAGACAGGCAGGCTCAACAGTTGAGGGACAAAACAAGAAATGGTACCAGGATTACTGCATAACTTTAAACTGGTCTCCACCTAGGAGCCAGGATTACGGAACTTTAAAATAGCATCTCCAACGCCGAGCCAAAGCAGGAACAGAGAGCGCTCAGTGCCAAAGAGCCAGGACACAATCAGAAGACAACAAAACAAACACTAAATCCTCTCAAACTGCTGGCGTCGGAGAACGGGAACATGAACATAGGAATCCCTCAAACAAAAAACAAAGAACAAAAATAAAACAAACATCAAACAATGATCTGGCCCCTATAGCTGTGCAGATCATGACCCTCTGAGCAGAATCTATTAGGATTGTTTCTGACACATTTTTAATCTACAGAAAATCAATGCACTTCCTAAGGCTATAAAAAGTTCAACTGAGTACTAACCAAGTGTATATGCAAGGAGCTAGGCTATTACTAATACATGATCAGGAGAAAAATATAAAAACCTTATTGCCGAAATACTCTGTTGAAGATAGAAGTAAGAGACCCCTTTAATCTCTGCAGCCACGAGAGAATCACAGTGGTTAGAGATCTCCTCTTAAAAGATTACTCTTAAAGAAATGGTGCAACAATTACAATTAAAGACAGTTATCTCCTGTCTTTCTGTGGCTCAATGATTCCTAATGGGAATTATAGACATGGGAAGGAAATCTGGCAGGTGAGTAGGCCTGAGAAAGAAAATGATGGAAAAAGGGCCAACAAAGTTTAAGAAAGTGATGGAGAAGCGATATTTGCTTGGGTTATGAGAGTTCTGACAAGACGAGTCAATGGGGATTTATACAGTAAGTAGGAGACGAGAGCAGGTTGATTTTAACAGATTAAGATCCAAAAAACATTCCAATGCATGCAACTGTGTAAGAATAAAATAAGACATAACTCTGTATCCTATTCAAAGCTTTTGTCAACAGATAAAGTCCTCAGATTACAGGTTGAGAGCAGGAATGGAGGCAGGTAAAAACTTAATCATCCTCTTGGTACTAATACATGAATTAATGCCATAAGGGATGAGAGGTGAATGTAAAAGAAGACAGGATGAAAAAACACAGAGCTGGAATACTGAGACCACAGGCAAAAATTATCTGATGAGGAGCAGGGAGAGTATATGAAGGTTAGCTGGTGCAGGCAATTAGTTAATCAACTAAAGACTACCAAGGCTGCAGCTTCAACTTGCAGTAATTGATGCAAAGTATGAAGTATAAACTTGACCGTCTAAAAACATGCCTGGTAAATATTCCTGCTGCTAACGAGAGCTGAGGGAACTATTCTAATCCTTTCAATGTTGACAAGACCTACAGGTTTTGGGGGACACTGTTAGAACTGATGAGACACAATGTTCATTTCTGACCAACAATATAATGTCGATATTTACACAAGAAAAACAAAACCTGAAGAGAAAGTAAAACCACTGTTAAAGTTCAACTCAGTTTAGTTGTGTTGCTTCCTTACCGCATCAGGGAACCTTGAATGTTTGGCATAGACAGCAATGTCTGAAGGTTACCTGGGGTGAAACACTGCCCAGTGTCAGACAGCTCATCCTCAGCCAAAGATCAGTCACTTTTTCACAAGGTATATTGACTCAAAACATACAGCTAGAGTCCTCAAATATCGCTGCCAAACACTGGACTCCGGCTGTCAGGGGCACATTTCGTAATCCCTTTAAAACATAAGGTTTGATCTAAAAGTTGCAGTGCAAAGACACCACCCTTCAGAGCTGAGACCGCATGGGCAGTTTGCTCAGGATGAAATATCTGATGGAACATTTCTATGAAAAAAATATAAAACATGCACAAAGGGGAAAAAAACGCAAGGTTTGGCTCTAGTGATTAATGTTTGCATAAATGTGGCAGACACTTAAAATATGTGATGTGAATAAGTAAAATACAAACTCTATATGTGGTGCTAAAAACATAAAAAATAATGAAAAAGGAATTTGAATATGTATAAGACGTTGTTTGATATTCGTGAGGGTCTTTCCCTAACCTGCCATGTTATCCAGTTCAGTTCTCTGGTGACTGGGTGTGGGTGTATATGTATGCGTGTGTGACAGCTTGTAAAATTTTGGGAAAGCATGCTCAACCACATGCATGCACACATACAGCTCCACACCCACCCACACACACACACACACACACACACACACATTAATTCATGCAGACACAATGATGTCTGAGTATTTTCCAACAACAGAGCATGAATTATGTGTGCAAATATTTGGTTCCATATGAACAAGTCATCACCAGGAGCTGTAAGTGTTGTGGTCTCATGTATAACTCTTCCTTAACATTTTTCTTTTTTTGGAAGAATAAAAAAACAGTTCATTAATACTGAGTTATCTTAATTCTGATGCTCGTTTGCATTATTTATGCGATGATGATCGTTAATGATTAAGAGGAACAAAAATTGGAGAAATAAGTTATCCTAAATCGGCTATATAATTTTCATAATCTGCTTTTTTTTCCTAAAATCTCAGTAAAAATCTCTTCATTATTCAAACAAACATATAATTTGCTTAATGCATGATGCTTGATGCAAGCTGATAAATGGTTACTCACTGTTGGTCATTTAATTGCCATCATTTTAAATGGAGAAAAATGTAACATTCAAACATGAGGATTAATTTTGATTGATGGTTTCTTTTGAATTTCGATCAGAAGCCATGTGTCTCTTTCACTTATCAGGTCCTCCATCATCTGTCTTGCCTTAAACACCACACAAACAAGGCTGACATTTAATTACTGGAAATTCTTCTTTTATGTGCTGTTCTCTTTGTATGTGCGAACTATTTACAAATTCTTCATTAACATTTAAAATCAGAAGGGACTGGAATATTGTTAGTGAGGAGAAAGCTCTCTTTTCTCTCGCTCTAACATCATTGTTAAACGTCTTTCTCCGTCCTTCGCCCAGCCTAGGTGGCCTTGTCTGCAGGGTACCACGGATGGTGTGGGTGAATGATGATATGAATTGACATGCTGTTTAAAAAGGGATCTGTCTAAATTATTCAGTCTGTTATTTTAGCGTAACCAGTCGGGGTTGATGTCTGGTTGTCACGGAAACATAGTCCCATGATCCCCGAGCCACAGCTGAGTTCCCTGGAAGAAGGAAGAGAGAGAGAGAAATGTCCTGATGCCAGCCAGATCATTTTGAAGAAGGGTGAGGTGAAAGTAATAACTGTGCTGCCACTGTGCTCGTGTAGAAATTTCCCACTTAATCTGACTATAATGGGCCTTTAGTGGGAAACTGCAGTCTGTTATGCAAACGTTATACATAATGCTTTACCATTATCCCTCTATGGTAAAGTAAAGTGTTTGTTTCTAAATCCACACAGTTTTAAAAACCTTTAAAATAAAATCTGACTCAGTTTGTTCATTGTAACACATGACATATGTAAAAAAATGTATTATCTGCCATGATTTGCACCTATTTTGTGTTTGTTAATTACATCCACCAGTGCTCTGTGTAGTTTTCTTTCTTCTCAGCTGCATTTAAAATATACAATTATATATATATATATATATATTTTTTTTTTTTTTACAAATATACCAATCAACATGTGCCTGCTATTGTTCCGCTCCTTCAGTCCAGCGCCACCTCAATTAATGACGAGTGGGATTATTTACTGTTGTCTGCTGTCGTCCCTATGGTGCTCTGAATATATGCCCTTTGTGTTGAGTTTCTTTGTTTTGCACCTCCTTTTGTTTGTTTTTAATATCCTCACTAGTTCCCTGTCTTTTTGTTAGTTACGTTCCCTCAGTTCGCTGCTTAGATTCTTCTCCAGCTGTCATACATTCTCCTTAGCCATCACACCTGATTCAAGTGCCACTCATTAACCCTTCCAGTAGTTGAAAGCCTTTTAGTTCCTCATCTGCTACTGTGGCTACATTCTTCCATTCCCAGTGGTCCTCCATACTGTTTATCCTTACCTCCCGTCTTCCTTGTTTGCTATTAATGTCTCTGATTCACCTGTTATGTTTGTGTCTGTTAATCTACTTTGTAAATTTCAATTAGAATAAATCATCCTGGCAACAGCATCAGGTCTTTTGCAGCCACCAAAGCCCAACACATGCCCTACTATTGCCAAAGTTGTACTGGACTTTAACAATTCAATGGCTGCAAGCTTCATATCATAAAACCCTAATGATAAACTGCGTGTGATGAAAGATGCCAGATTGCAAGACTTGTTGCTGCAGCAAAAATAAATTCAAACAGATACAACACACATTTCAGTCCAATACTAAATGGATGCTAAAATGAGGAAAAGAGACTTTAGTTTTTAAACTGAAAACACGTTATCCTTCCTATGAAAGGCTTTATCTATTTGTGAGGGAAAAGTTTTAAGCTCTTAAGCCGCTCTTAAGTGTTCTGCAGATCAAAACTTACATGCATGCTGGACTCCACTCCACTAGGGCTACATTAATGCTCTTTTTGGCCTTGCAGACCGAGAGATTTTTTGTCACATGCAAGATGTTGAGAAGTGGTTTGAAACTGTAAGGGCATTGATGCTGAGTTGTAATACTACTTCAGGCATCCCCAAAGTTGGTCCTTGAGGGCCGCTGTCCTGCAGGTTTTAGAGGTTCCCTTGCTCCAGCAAAGCTGATTTTAATTGAAAGCTGATTAACAGGCTTTTGCTCAACTGCAGTCATCATAATCAGCTGTGCTAAAGCAGGGAAACCTCTAAAACCTGAAGGACAGCGGCCCCCGAGGACCGACTTTGAGAATGCCCTACATACACACACACCCTGTTCTCTTCTTTCACAAATATAGTATGTACTACTTGTGTTCATCTATCAAATACTATATTTTGTCATTATCATTAAATTAGAAT